ATGGAAACTCGGGCAGTACCCAAGGGCCCGGGATCAGTAGGGGCCCCATGAGATTCACCTGGTACCTTTTTCATAGGCTTTTTTGAGTTTGGGCAAGGACACAGGGGCCCCATGATCCCCTATTGCCCGGGGGCCCCATGAGTTGTCAGTCCACCCCTGATAAGGACTCACGGTGAAATTGAATGAGACACTGTGGGGACCCTGGGTTTTAGAGGCAACTCCATCACTGTGGGAGTAGTAAGAGTCTCTATTGGTGCTGCAGCAGGAGAGAAGGTACAGTAGAGACAGAGGTAGCACTTGCAGATGTAGTTAAGGACTGTACTCACTCTTCCAACTGGACATATCCCTCCTGCAAGGATTTGACAGCTTGGGTGAGGGCTGTGAGATCTCGTCCATAGGCGGCAGATCTCGCCCATAGGAGAGGTTCCTCTTACAGGCTCAGACATGGCTATCTAATACTGTCACATACCTCGTTGGTGAGCCTGACAGTCAGAGGAAGGCCTCTCATACAGCTCAGGCTTAAGGGCCACTGAGGGTGGAACAGCAACCACAAGAGCATGGCAGGGTATGAGTGCCTGGTCAGTCTGGTAGTCTGCGGAAGTAGCTGACACCTCACTGGATAGATGACAGGAGTAGAGCAGCTGGCTGCAGGCAGATGTCACAGCAGAGCAGGCTGGCAGCAAGGTGGCATAGCAAAGCAGGCTGGTAGCAAGCAAGCTGGCAGCAGACAGGTGGCACAGCAGAGCAGGCAGGTGGCACAGCAGAGGAGGATACAGAGTCAGACCAGCCGGGTCTTTAACAGACGGGCAGATCAGGTATAGACGGCAGGCAGAAGCAAAGTCAGGTCACAGGCCAATGTCAGCAGCGGAAAAGGAAGATCAGAGAGAGACAGGAGGCAGGGGCAGAATCCAGGAGACATGTCAAGGTCAGTGCAGGTAGCGTTCAAGCAAGGTCAAGACAAGCTGGGCCAATCACAGGTATCCAACACAAGAACAGCCACAGGAATACACTTAAATAGGTCACTTGGCACCAGCATCAATGGGGAGTGTGCACAAGCCTTCACATATGCATGTTCCTCTGCACAGCTGGACGGGCACCCACAGGATCGCAAATTTGTCTGCACCTAGAAACTTTAGTTGCACTATGGCCAGCGTGTTTCTGACAAGTAATTTGATTTTTTTTATAGGATATATTTTATAGCAGAAAGTAAAAAATATTTTTAGGTCTTTTTACAAAATGTCCATTTTTTTTTGGTTTATATGATAAAAAATAATTTACCACCAAAAGGAAGCTCTATTTGTGTGACAAAATTATAGAAATTTAATTTGGGTACAGTGTTGCCTGACCACACAATTACCAGTTAATGGTCATGAAGGGGGTAAACCTTTTGGAGCTCAAGTGGTTAAATATAAAACTGACATTGCAGCAAGTATAGCTGCTTTTCTTTTTTTCATTTAGACTCTGGGGCTTGAGAATTTATCTAATCAGCTTTTATCATCTTTTTCTGAACAGGTCCATTCAGTCTGGTGTCCCCTCACTCCTTGGTGCCTTGTAAATGTCTCCTTTAGGAATGGCTTACTTGCATTTACTCTCAGGGAGAAGCTGTGAGCCACTTACAATTAGAAGCAAAGTGGCTTAATGGTTAGCACTTTTGCCTTGTGGTACTAGGATCCTTGGTTCAATTCGTAACCAGGACACTACCTGCCACAGTTTTGCATAATCTCCTTCTGCTTGTGTGAGTTTCCTCTTGGGTTTCCAGTTTCTCCACACACTCCAAAGACATGCTAGGTCATTAATAGCCTCCTGTTCAAAATAGCCCTAATATGTATGTATGTAAAATAGGCAACTTGAGAGCAGGGACTGATGGGCATGTACAATATGTAAAAGAGTTATGTACATTGCTGGTGCTATATAAATAACTGTGATAAAAACAGTACATTTGGGGAAATTGCTTCAGATTGAAATGTAAAAGAAAATTGTATAATCTATAGGCTTGAACAAATGAGCCTTTACAAATGGGATTAAAACAAAAGGAACTCATCTGTCCTAATCAGTAAAGTATGCCACCATTTTTAATTGCTTAGCAGCATGAAGTTAACTTCTTGCTGATAATCTCATTTACAACACATTACCATTTTTTTACAACTAAGATGTAGACAGTGGATTTGTTCTAGGTAGTGATTAAAGTAAAACTAAAGGGAAAACTTTTATTTTCAATTTACATAGTTATCCTGGCTGAAAAAAGACAAAAGTCCATCCAGTTCAACCATTAAAAAAAAGTTATAATCCTATACCCACAGTTGATCCAGAGAAAGGCACCCCCCCCCCCCCCCCAGCAAAGCATGATCCAATTTGCTCCTTCTGGGGAAAATATTCCTTCCTGATCCCCTCAGATATTCCCTGGATCAACTTTACCTATAAATTATAGCATTGGATAGTATTTTTTGCTATCTGTGTCCCAATGGGGAGATTTCCCTTCATTTTTTGTCCCATAATTGAGAGAAAATCCCTCCTTCAAGGGTACCGTTCAAAGCGGGCAGGGGATACTGTGATCGCCATGTTACTAAGGTTTACTGATTTTAACTTAAATCATTAACAGGTTTTTAGAAAGTTTTACATTATAGAAGCACCACTTAAAAGACACATACATTTAACACACACTCACTCAATTTATTTGAAAAAACAAGAAAAATGGGTGACAATTTACATCTATTTATATATTAACATATTTTTTCCACAAATATATACATGAAACCTATCACAGTATTATAAGGCAGGACAGAAAATTAATTTTGCAAATAGTAGTCATCACTTGTCTTGTTACCTTATGCCATTGTGACCAATAGAAAAAATTCAAACTTTGCTGATTGAGGAAATGGTGCATTGAAATGGTGCTTTGGATGGGTTACATAGTCGCCCTCCTCTGTTCCACTGCAACAGCACTCATTCTGTTGTAAGGGAACTACACTCCTCTTGTTTGAAAAGCTGGATGAAACTTTATACATTTTCTGAACTTCTGGCCTGTGATGCCATCCCCTTAGGGTGGCTTCAAACTGCCCCACTGCACTTTGACCACCATGAGAGAACAGTGCAATGTACCCACGGTTTTGGTGCGTGTTAGCTGCACTTTATCATAGACTTCTTTTATGCCCTGTGGTTTTGGTGCATTTTCTGATAGCGCACCAACAGTACTGCATGCCACAGCACAGCAGTTTAGTGTGAAGCCACCAATAATGATAGGCCCCACCAATTCTTACCAGAGTTACAGATGGTGCACCCTATTGCATGATAAATACCATGCATATAGTGCATAGTGTACCATGAATAGTGTAGGTAAATCAGTCTGTATTTATGCAAGCCCCCTGGGCTTATATATAAAAAGCATGCTAGCAAATAAAAAAAACTTGTGCATAACCAATCAAAATCCTTGTTTCATTTTCAACTCTGGACTGTTGAAATGACAGCTGGAAGCTGAATGGTTGCTATGTGCTATTCTTTATTTAGCACACTATTCATAAATAAGGCCTGTAGGTTTTGTTGGTTTGAATGTCTGTCCACAGTTCACAACCAAACAATTTTACTGTAGTTTGACTTCAAAATTTATAATTTTTCTCAAAAATAAAACCAATTTAAAAGGCTGCACCTTAGTGGGCTCCATACAAAGAATGATAAAATTTTATTATACGTTTACTATTTTTGTATATACGCTTGAAAAATAGCAAATACAGGCACAGTAGCAGCAGCCATATTGTAGACGTAATCAACATTCATGAAAATGTGATCTATCTGTTCAATAGGAAGTGATAACAGTGAAGATTTTGCTAAAAAAAGGCTTCAACAATGTCAATTTGGTACTCCATCGTAATTTAATTTAAAATTATGGCTGTCTTGTCTCATTGATTTTATAAAAATTAAAAAATTGACAGGCTATTGGTTTATTAATTAAAATGACCCCTGCTCTGTTTAAAATAATATTTCTTGTTCAGACAATCTACATAATTAGTATTTGTTTACGACTTATCCCTAATCTGTCCAATATGGAAGAAAGGAAATGAGAAAGATATGAGAAGAAGTAAATGGCATAACCTCAAAAGCCAAACCTGTACACAATGATAAGATAAGGAAGAACAACTTAAAATGTTTGGTGGTAGAGCTAGTCTTCAGCTTTACACCTTAGAAGCCACCAATACAAATGCAGATCAAGATGATCCATTAGATTCTTGGCAAATTATTGACTTAATAAAGATTTATTTTAACAAAGTCACACTATCAGTAATACCCACAGAAATGACTGGTAGTTTCATGACTTAAAAGAGGTGGTTTCCACCTTCAGATGCCTATAGATGGTACATGGTGTCTGGTAGCATCTATTGAATACATTGATATTTCACGCGAGCTACATTGTGTTATTGTGGTAACTTTCTAAGTGCAAGAAAAGGTGTTCATGTACCTGCCATAAAGGAACACAGTTATACTGGAGAACATACCAGAACTGTGTTGTATCCTAGGGTAACAGAACTGCTGTCTCTATAAATGTGTTTAGCTTAAAAAAATCTTAAAAAAGTAGGAAACATATTTAGTTACCATTGTTCAATATCACATAGAAACCAGTAGATTAGGGGATGGCAGTTATGGATAGCACAGAACATTCTGATTGCATAAAAATATGCAAATGACATCATGCATCTATTTAATTGTGTGTACATCTCCTTAAAGAGCTTCTGTTCTTGTACAAGTCAATGCTTTGCTTTTGGTTTTCCTATACAATGTTCATCAGGAAACTGAGGCCGTACTTCACAAGCGAAGATGATCCATTGCCAAGCACTTGTTCCTTCTATTCCATCCAGCCAATTAATAGTGAACATTCCCCTTTGGACCACCAATCACTGATGTTACTGATACAGTAGTAAGTCAAATTTATTTGATAGCATAATGCCCACTAAACCTTTTGAATAAAAATAAAAGCTGCAAGAATGGAGTCTTGGGAGGTGCTGAATGGCTTACAAGTGTGGATGCATGGTGGCCTCTGTCTTCCTCTCACCGAGCAACACACTGTCAAACTGATATGTCAACTTCTTCTTGACTTTCCTGATCTCTCCAGTCTTGCCATAGTTCCTCAGAGCACGGGCCATTTTCTGATAAGTCATTTTTTTGCGGTTTCCTTTTTGTTGACCCCATCGATGAGCAAGCACTTCTTTGTGCTTGGATGAAAATTGGAAGGTCCCCCTCTCACGGTCCAACCACCAGATGCAATCTCTCATGTCTCCATTCTGCAGGAGTTCCAGAAGAAATTTGTATAATCGAACCTTCTTACGAACACAATCAACATTTTCAACTAAATAAAGAAAATACATTAAAATATCATATTATATTAACACAGGAAATTAAACTTTTTTCAAAGCTAGCACCAAAAAAACTTGCATGTTTGGACCGACGGCATATCATAACTGGGGTTAGGCTTTATGCCAGGGTAGTAAGTGGGCCTTGCCATTTCAGTAGCACAAGTTACAGACTTCACAAGGTTACAAAGAGGAGGGTATATAGGACTTAGATGATATAACAAATAAATAATATGCCAACATGAAGCATTGAGAAATGCTCTGTATGTAACCAAAGAATAACAATTTTTAATGATTGCTTTCCCAGGGGTGAAAAATTGTATATAAGTAATGTATAAGAACTTGTTAGTTTTTTTTAGTAATATATTATATAGGAAAAATAGGCTGCAATAATCTTGGATAAGATAAGCCACGTTCACAGAAGAAATGTAAGCTTTCAGAATAGAACTGTCATTATAATTACTGTAAATCTGATGGGTATGTGGCTCTGAAATGGCATGCAGCTACTAGATATATTTACAAAAACTAGGGACATATTAGATAGCTTTCCCTTGTAGAGAAGTATGGCTGAGCATGGGAAATTTTGTATTGTGTGTAAATTTAATGATTTAGTTTTCCAACATGCATTATCAATGTTAGTTTTATACTGGTTACACAGCCGTCATTTTTCTTGTTCAATCGGATTGATAGCTAATCCCATTTATAAGTAGATATTGACATTTATGGGTAATAACAACAGAGATTGGTGATCCAGGGAATATCCAGGATCATTAAGGGTTTTTTTCCTCTGCTGCAGCAAATTGGACCATGGTTAATATGTTGGGGTTTTTTTTTTCTTCCTCCAGATGGACTGCGGGTATAGGATTGTGCATATGGAGGTTTTCTATTTTTTTTTTTTTTTTCTACTGGTTGAACTAGATGGACTTGTGTCTTTTCAGTCTAACTATGTAGCTAAATAATGACCATTCTCTGCAGTGACATGCTAATACCCAAGACCATGTGTGTTAAAGAGTGACCCTCTGTCACCAGGTTCTTCATTTAAAAAAAATGCTTTTTATAAATCTGTTAACTTACTGCTGGTTGGTTGCAGTTTGAATTGGATTAGCTTTTTTTTTTTTTTTTTTTTTTTTTAACTCCCCCCAAAAATTATTTTCAATGGCTTGGGCAAAGTCTACTGTAAAGGATTTACATATCTGTTTGCTATATTGCTTTATAATAGCCATATATAATACTGATTTATTGGAACCTGATGTTGCTCTTTAGTCTTTAGTGATTTATGTGACAGCCATATAATCATCACTTTACTCATTTATATTCAGCTGTCTTGCATGCAGAATATACAGTAATTATAAAGATGTTGGCCAACCAGTTAACACTGGAAGCTGATTGTGAGGTCAAGGCCATCATTTTTTTGCCCTTTTGAACACTACAAAAATGATATTAACTAATAAACAAAGGGATTAAAATGGCTTTAATTTAATTGCTTCCCTGGATTTTTTTCCTCACTGACCAGAAGCTCCAGTAACGTTTACTGCAATGCAAGGCCTGGTTTTCTCATAAATTATTAATAGAATATTATTAGATTAGTATCCTGAAGGGCACACACTTTATAGCTGAATAAAATCAAGAAAAATGTATCCCCTTCTCTCTTCTTTGTACAGCTTCAGATAAATTAGCGATAGTCGCAAAGAAAACAGCTACTGCTGTGCTCTCTTTTTAGAAGACATAGAATGCTGTGCAATTCCTGTGTCATGGGGGCACCATGGATTAAATGTTTCCATAGAATGAATTCATATAAAAAAATTATATACAGCAGTTGGAAAACCTGTAACTTAAAAATGTCAAAGTATTTAAACACCAACATATTTATTTATAATACTTATAGAAGTTTTAAAAGTGTAAAATAATGTAATAGATGTAATACCGTGTTCATAGCATGCTTGAGAATCATCAGTGTCACTATCTGACACCTCTAGACTGGGTATTTCACGAAAGTCTTCTTCCTCGGACAGCGATGGGCTGCTGACATTGCAGAGTAACTGATAGGACTGTGGGTAGGAATTTATTATCTGGGGGAAAAGTAAATATGCTCTTGATTACATGAGTTTGGATACAGGACTGAGTTATCTGAATATTAAATCTACAACAGATAATCAGTTTGCTCAAAACAGGTAGCTTAAAAAATTTAATTCACCAAACCCATTTTAGTTTCTGCATAGCAATAGCAGCTGCAACATATGTGGAAACCTATAGGCAGCAGAGTTCCCAAGATGACACATTCACTTTTAATTGGTCTACTATCAAATAACTAAAAGGTTGTAGTACCTGCCCCCACAAAGTTACTAGCCTTCTATCATGTACACCCAATACCGTGTTTCCCCGAAAATAAGACACTGTCTTATAATTTTTTTGGCTCAAAAAAACACACTAGGTCTTATTTTCGGGGTAGGTCTTATTTTTTTAAATGTACAGGTGTGGACAGGGGGTGCAGAGGTGAGCTGCAGGCAGTTGTTGATTAGGGTTACTATAGGGAGGGCCGGCTGATGACAGTTGTGAGCTGCAGTCAGGTGTTGCAGAGGTGAATTGACAGGTGGGTTTCAAACAGGGTGCAGAGATGAGCCACAAACAGGGTGCAGGGGTGAGTTGCAGACAGGGGATGCAGAAGTGAGCTTCGGGTTCTATCTTCCCACACAGTGCACCAAGCGCACTCACCACTCCGCCTCTTCCATACTGGCTAGTGATCACCCCTGGGGCATTGGCTTCCATGGATTAGGCTGCAGAATGAGAAGCCCTGCCCCACCCCTAAACACACTGCACCCTCAGATATCTGTTCCTTCCCTGTCCCTCAGTGAGTTCAGAGGTAGGGGGGTTTTGTGGGAGCAGATAGTGCTGTTACTTACAAGAAGGATTGTCACTTGGAAACACAAAAGCCGCGCTTCTGTGTTTATAGGAGATAGTAGATATTGGTGTACACAGGACCAGTACTGTGAAGCGAAAAACAAACAAAAAGCGCATTAACCTTGCGCATTACCTCAATAAACCAAAATGTATTAGTCATAGAATAATACTCACAAACAAATGGAGTGTATCAAGCATGTGAGTCCACAAAGGGACTAAGAATAAAAGCAGCCTGCGTGAGTCCCATCATAGGAGTGGATACTTGGGTAACAGCTGACGCGTTTCAAAGGGCATCCCTTCTTCTACAAAGTAAGCTCTGAGGAAGAAGGGATGCCCTTCGAAACGGGTCAGCGGGTAACAAGTATCCACTCCTATGATGGGACTCGCGCAGGCTGCTTTTATTCTTAGTCCCTTTGTAGACTCACATGCTTGATACACTCCATTTGTTTGTGAGTATCATTCTATGACTAATACATTTTGGTTTATTGAGGTAATGCGCAAGGTTGCTGCGCTTTTTGTTTGTTTTTCGCTTCACAGTATTGGTCGGGCTTCCCCAGCCTTGTTTGAAGCAGCACAACTGCATATGCACTGCTGGCAGAAATTTTCAAGTCCTGATTCCATCTTCCTACCCCCGGGTTGGGACACAGAGCGCAAGAGAGTTCGTTTTTCTTCTATAATACACAGGACCAGTGCCAGAGGTGGTGGAACACCTGATCACAACTAGGTCTTATTTTTGGGGTAGGTCTTATTTTCTGGGAAACAGGTATAGCCTACAGTCTTAGCACCTGATCAGAAATAATTAAAGAATTTACGAAAACACTGCATATGCAGGTAAGGGGCATCTGTAAATAAAAACAAACTGTGCAGCTCTGAGTAAAATTGAATAATGCCCTTGTTATAGGTGTAGGCTGTCTACAGTATGTACTTCCCAAAGCCTGTCTGAAAAGGTTCCAAATATGGCATCATCCCATCCTGCCTTGTTGCTAGGATGTTGCTAAGACACTCCCAGTTGTTATTGCTCACTCCCACTATCACAGGAATGAGCTCTCAAACTCTCACACCTGTGTGGCCCACCATCAAAGCATTGCTGAGCTCAGAAATACTGCGATGGGGAAGAGTCAATGCAAACGAGTTTGAATCAAAGTAGTAACTTGCTCCTGTGATAGGGGGGTGAGCAGTAACAGTTGAGAGTGTCTTAGCAACAAGGCAGAAAGGGATGGTACCAAAGAAAAGTATTACCAAGTCAGAATGCCCTGTCTAACTTTGAGATTGCTCAACAATAGCTACAAGTTCCTTCTTTTTGTTAAAATAGCAAGTATGCCAGTTTCCCAAACCACTTCCCTCATTTTAAAATCTGATTCCAGTAAAATAAAGACACTAAATAAGATACTAAGATTATCACCCAGGCCATGTGAAAAAAATATGTTTAAAGAAGACAACAGTACAAAACGGAGCAAAGTTGTATGCTTAAGATTTTAGAACTCAAATCATATTTGTGCAGAGATAAAGTAAGTATAAAGTTACATAGTTAATCTAGTTGAAAATAAAGACATAAGTCCATCAAATTCAAACAAAAAAAAAAAAAACGAAAACACACAACACGCACAAATAGAAAACCTCCATATACACTATCTAATACCCACAGCTGAGGAGGGCAAAAAGAACCCCAGTAAAGTGTTATCCAGTTTGCTCTAGCGAGAGGAAAAAATTCCTTTCTGATCCCCTAAGAGGCAATCGGATATATCCTGGATCAACGTTACCTATAAATATAGGTATCCAGTTATATTATATGCATTTAGGAAAGAATTCAGGCCTTTCTTAAAACAATCTACTGGACTGACCAGAACCAACTCTTGAGGGAGTCTATTCCACATTTTCACTGCTCTTACTGAAAAAGAAACCTTTCCCTATTTGGATATTAAATCTGTTTTCCTCCAGACGTAGAGTGTCCCCTTATCCTCTGTGATGATCTAAAAGTGAATAACTGTATACCAAGTTCACTATATGGACCACCTATGTATTTATTATGCACGTTGATCATATCCCCCCTTAATCTCCTGTTCTCAAAAGAGAATAAACTCAGTTCCTCTAATCATCCCTCACAGCTCAGCATCTCCATGCCTCTTATCAGTTTAATTGCCCTTCTCTGCACATTCTCCAGTTCAACAAAATCCTTTTTATGAACTGGTGCCCAAAATTGAACTGCATTTTGAAATATTGTTCACATTTTTTCAATTTACTATCTATGTGATATTGCCCTGCTTGTTAGAATTTTACCATTTAACTTCACATATACAGTATGTGCACTACTACCTTGCCTACTGATTGTAGACAGGCTTCTGCACAGGCAACAGATTCTTATTCTGATCAATATAGACATTTAAACCTAGGAATGCTGTGATTATCGCTAGCCTTACCTCAGTGTTGTACAGCTCTTCTGGCATTGGGCATGGTGTTGGGCAAGGAGCTGTGACATCTAGGTTCTGGCTGTAGTGGGGATAAGCATCCTGGGGATAGGGCATCTGGATGTTCCAGAGTGGTGTAAGCTGATCATTCTCATTAACTTGTGGCTCCATCCAGTTCATGAAGTCTGAAAGAAAAAATGAAAAATAGTCAGAAACATAACAAACATACAAGCAAATTCCTAAGTGATTAAATATAGAATAGCTTATAATAGTTTGTATTCTAATTTATGTAAGGAGTGAAGCTAGCCATACACCGATAGAATTTCATTTGATTGTTCCTACAGAAATTCTGAAAATTTGTAAGAACATTTGATCTTGCCAGCACTGAGACAACTATTTTCGCTCGAAATCTCATACATTTTTTTCCAGACTTCCTACTTGAATGGAATTCCAGACAAATAAATAGGTTTCTTTGTGCATTAGCATATGTTCATGCTCATCACAATATGTACAATTTTTTTAAACATATTTACAGTTAAAATTTCATACATTCAAGAAAAATTTTCCATGCTTGTTCTTTGAATTTTCTCATCACTAGGGTCAAAAATGGTCATCGATCTAAGCTCACTAACCATTAGAAAAATGGAAGAAAACAAACATTTTCAACCAAAATACTACTAGTGCATGACCAGCGTAAAGTAGAACTATAGGCAAAGCTTTTTTTTTTTATCTTGGATAGCGTAGGGAGTGTTATAACCCCTGTCAGTTTTTCATCTTTGTCCCTTTAGGGAGATTTCCCTTCACTTCCTGACCAATAACCACAACAGGAAGTGAGAAAAGATCTCTCCAAAGTGGGAAGAATCCCTGGTGGTCACCAGAGTCAACAAAACTAGTGTTGCCATGGAAGATTTCTTTATTACTGTTTTTGGGACAACCCATAATTCGGGATTTTCTTTACTTTAATTTTTTGGTGATAATAGTAAAGATGGCAAATAGAGAGGATGAAAAAAAATGACATTAAAGATTCATTTTAAAAAAAATTAAATAAGAAACATGTTGTGCGAAAGTGTTTGACACAGTTCGCTACACATGGCTATTGTGTAAGCTCTTTTTACAGGCTTGGAAAAATCTGTATGTAAATGGATAGAAAACTGGCTAAAAGATCATATTCAGACAGTAGTGGTTAATGATTCATACTCTGAATGGTCTAGGGTTGTCAGTGGTGTACGCCGAGGTTCAGTGTTGGGACCCTTACTTTTTAATATATTTATAAACAATATAGGGTCTGGGATTAAAAATCCCATGTCAGTCTTTGCAGATGACACCAAGCTGTGCAGTGGAATAACGTCCTTACAGGATGTCTCCAATTTACAAGCTGACCTCAATGCACTGTTTAATTTGGCAGCTATGTTGCAAATGAGGTTTAATGTTGATAAATGTAAGGTTATGCACTTGGGGGCTAAGAATATGCATGCATCATACATACTGGGGGGGGGGGGTACAACTGGGGGAATCAATGATGGAGAAGGATCTGGGAGTTCTGGTAAATCATAAACCTATTAATGGCATGCAATACCAAGCTGCGGCTTCTAAAGTGAGCAAAATCCTCTCTTGTATTAAAAGAGGTATAGACTCCAGAGAGAGAGATATCATATTACCCCGGTACAAATCATTAGTAAGACCTCATCTGGAATATACAGTTCAATTTTGGGCACCAATTCACAAAAAGAACATTGGGGAACTGGAGAAAGTACAGAGAAGGGCAACTAAACTAATAA